CTGCCAGGACAGCAAGCAAAAAGTAGTAGGGAAAAAAAGCGAAAACAGGCGGCCATTTATCCGAGCACTTGAAGCGTGCTAAAGCGATGTGTGTCGCATGTCATGCGGGACATCAGCTCATCTAATGGCAAACTTCTATGTTAATAACACTAGTTGACAAAGTTTTTGAAACCAACTAGGCCCTGCGGTCGACAAAGGCAAACTCCAACCATACAAATATTGGATTATGGATAGATAGTGGAAAGCTCTTTAAGGAATGGGTTTCAATTGTGAAACAGAGAGAAATTTTGAGTGGATTGAAGAACTCTTTATATATGCCAATGACTGATGAGGGAGTTATTATGGAATTCTGATTTGCTATTTTATTAATTTTCAAGCCAAATCTATAAATAATATATAGTAGCTTTCAGCTTCAGGATCAGAAAAGTTAAAAAATTGATTCCATACTAGAAATAATACATCTAACGATTCTGCTTCAAGGACTTGAATATTAAATATCGTACATAGAATACATCGAAAAGAAAATAAAGTTTAGCTCTTCAACTCATCTCTTATTACTAAACTTTCAACGTTCCCAGAATTTGTTGGCCAGTGTAAAGTGCGCCCGCAAAGCAGCACTCACTCAGATTATCTATCCGAGCGGCTATCATAATGACTGCAAAGTGCTCAACTGGTTGCTATACTCACAAATTGAAGTGAACGTCCGCCATGTTGGGCCTGTACCGTATGGCCTCCTGCAGCACCTGCTTGGCCTCCTCGTAGCGCGCCTGGGAGCTCAGCACACTGCCCAAATTGCCCAGCGCTGCAATTAGCGATTGAAATTGAGCTTGATAGAGAAAAAATCACTTTTATAGCTAAGAGAGACTGATTTACCTTTTGGCGGATTGACTGTGATGGCGCTGCGAAAGAGACTCTCCTCGTCCCGCCAGTCGGCGTTGCGTTGCACAGTTCGCACACTGAACGAAACGAGCAGCATGCCCAGGCCGATGAGCAGCAGGAGGCGGCGAGTGCGAGAGTCGCGATCCAGCAGCTTGGAGACGCCATAGCCAACGAGCAGACAGAAGCCGACGCTGGGCAGGTACAGCAGACGCTCAGCGACCACAAAGCCCACGTAGAAGAAGAGATTGCTCGCTGGCAGAAAAGGGAGCGTGAGGAAGGCGCACGACATGAGCAGGATGCAAGAGTTGCGCGCCGCCACAGACATGCCGCCGAGCATGTAGTCCGAGGAGTTGGGGCAGGAGTTGGGGCAGGAGCGGTTGCTGCAGCAGCTGCTGTTGCTGCTACTGCTGCTGCTGCTGCAGTTGGAGCTGTTGCTGGCGCTGCTGCTGCTGCTGCCGCTGCTCTTGTTGCTGGCCGTGGTGCTGTTGCTGCAGCTGCTGCTGCTGCGCGAGCCACGGAAGGCCTTGTGCAGGGCGAGGCTGACGGCGGAAGACACTAGTTGATGCGGCGCATGTGCTGCATGTTGCTGCGGATGCGTGTGCGGATGTTGCTGTTGCTGCGTCGCATCGCCATAGACATAGACGCCGTTGTTGTTGTTGCAGTCGCTGCAGGGCAGCGCCTCCTGATGATAGGCCGCCTCGAAGGCTTGGTACTTGTTGCTGTTGCTATTGTTGTTGTTGTTGTTGGCCAGTCGCTTGCGCTTTGCGCGTGACTTGCGTCCCACCTTCTGTATATGATATTGTGGATAGCTGCTGCCGCTCGATCCGGCCACATCGGCCAGCTCGCCGCTGTGCAGCAGCACCTTGCAGCCACGCCAGGCCACGCCCAGCAGCACGGTGTAGAGGCAGGCGGACTGAGCATTGCGTCGATCCCACAACGTTGTGACGCGTGGCAGCGCATCCATGCCCCAATCGAAGCTGAGCACCTGAGGCAGCAGCAACAGCTTCAAATTGACAACGGGCAGGTGCAGGAAGGTCAGCAGACGCGTCCAGGTGGAGGCGGTGCGTGCGATAGGATTGTCGGCGCTCGAGAAGGCGCTCTGTGGTCCAGGCACCACGATCAGGCGGTAGTAGACGCTGCAGCCGAGCGCACCAAGCACAAAGAACAGCGAGCGCAGGCGTTGCTGTGAGGGAGAGAGAGAGAGGGAGATATGGAATATAAGGCATGGCAAATCAGAAAAAGAATCTAGAGTATTCTAGAGTCGCTCAATGTTAATGTAGGTATTTCTCCATTAACTCACCTTGTCCACCTGTCCGCTTAGGCCGCGCATCACATCGAATGCCGCACAGACGAGCAGCGCTGTTATGGCCGTCTCCTTGCAGAGCAGCGCCGCTATAGAGAATAGCAGCGTGGTGGCCAGCGCCAACCACTGGCGTGGATCGGCCGACTCGCGCCAACGCATGTGCCGCAAATAGCTGAGGTACGTGAGCAGATAGCAAACGCAGGCCGCCACATCAGCGCGTCCCACCACGCTAGCCACCGCCTCTGTGTGGATGGGATGGGCGGCGAATAGGGCGCCCGTGGCCAGCACCGCCCAGAAGGAGGCGAGCAGTGTGCGCGCCACGCGCACCACCAGCGCGGTGGCAACACAGTGCAGCAAATTGTTGCCCAAATGAAAGCCCCAGGGCGCAAAGCCGCCGGCCAGCAGATAGTTCAAACGGAAGCTCAGCACAGTCAGCGGCCGCCAGGAGCCGTGCGAACCGCTGTCCGTCAGAGGCGTGCCCCAAAAGTCATTGCCAAAGCTGCGTTGCCAGCTCGAGCCACCAGAGACGTCCGCATTAGCCAGAACTGCGCGTCTGCAATGGAAAAAGAGATACATTCACATGTTAAATAATTTCCTAGCTTTTTTTTCCTAGTACATTGAAAATTGTTGTGCATAAAGTGTGCAAAAATAATTACATGGAATGTATATAATCATTTAAAATAAGTAAGACTGTGAGTCGGTATGAGTATACTGAAACTTGTGAAAAGCTGGAGTAAATAATGTATAAAAATCTTTAATGTTTGTAGTTGGCTATGGGTAATTGATTGTTTAAAGATTTGCTTCTTATCCTACCGCTGAGTTTGTAAGGCTCAGCGCTCGTCGCTTACGTTATCTTGTCGCTAAGGGTCAGAGTCATATTTTATTTCTAGTCTGACAGTTGACACTTTCACATGTGGAATCTATTTTATGTATGCCATCTGTCGAGTACATAGATTGTATATTCCCATACTTATCATATTCATGAACAATATGTCTCTAGTATTTGAATTTTTATTTTAGAGGAACAACAATTAAAAATAAAAAATAATAATCATAATAATGATAACAAAAAAAAAAAAAAAAAAAAAAAAAAAAAAAAAAAAAAAAAAATTTTTTTTTAAAAAAAAAAAAAAAAAAAAAAAAAAAAAAAAAAAAAAAAAAAAAAAAAAAAAAACAGAAATTTCTATATTAACTATTTGGAATTAAAAAAAAAAAAATACAGAAATGTTTTACTTGTACGGCACTCAAATAACCTTAAAAAAATCAATTCATAGCTATAGAGCTTGGAAAAGTATGATAATCTCATACAGAGTATGGTATACAGAGATTGATTGACACTCAGAATGAAAGGTATATAAATCACCTCAGCTCGTCGCGCTGATCAGGAATATTTATTCCTTTATTTTTTGCCTTGGTCTTACTTTATAAAATAAATCCTATATATTAATTAATAACAGAAAGATAAAGAAAAAGCGATTGGGAAAGAGAGGGAGATGCAGCGAGTCTCTAAATGTATTAAATTTACTATCCACAGTCGAAAGAAAAGAAAAAAAAAAAAACAAGTTTATTGACAAATTTGCTGTGCGGTTGGCGCTTGAGGACGTAGCTTTTGGTATAGTTTTTTCGCTTTTTACTTTGAGCTCCAATGACAGCCACAAGATCCCAACACATACCCACACACACACACATATATATATATAAAAAGAGAGAAAAAGGGGTGGGTGGGTGACTGTGAGGCTTGGCTGTTGTCAGTGTGTCATCGGGCTACCCCAAAAAGGACAACATGTTAGGATGGCAGGATTGGCGGGTGCCGGGTGGAGCTCGCTTTGCACCTGGACAATTTTGCACGCACAGCAGGCGGACTATGTGGGATTTTGGTGAGGTATTTGTGACAGCGCCAACAGCGGAAACCAGTCGAACGCTAGAGACCCAAGAGTGGGCGCAATGGCGATGAGGTTGCCATCGTCATCGTCAGCGTCACTGTCGTTGCCGTTGCGGTTCACATAAACAAATGCCACTCTAATGCCGCACAAAGTCGACTGGAGTCGCCTTCTTGTCGGCCGCAGCGTGAACCATGTACTGGAGTATACTACAAGAGAGTGTGAGTGTGTGTGTGTGTGTATGAGAGTGTGTGCCTTGAAATTCGATTTTAAGTAGCAGTGAAATGCCAATGCAGTAACCAAGCATGCCACATGCCACACAGCAACTTGCCCCAGTTTCGACAATTTTTACTTTATTTTTAGACATTAAAGGTTGTCACAGAAAGCGTGTGTGTGTGTGTGTGTGCGTGCGTGTATGTGTGTGCATCTGTATCTTGAATGTATAAATTCGATAGCAAAGCTTAAGCATTGGTTAAAAAATGCTTTTGATTTGACTGCGCTCACCTGTCGTCATAGACAAATCCCGCATTAAGCGTGTTCAAATATAAGACGAAAGCCAGACCGCAGCACACGAGCGAGGTGTAGTCCATGCTGCAAAGGAAGAGAGAGAGACAGAGAGAGGGAGATTTATATTAATTAAAGTGCATCTTGTGGAGATAAAGAGGGTGAGAGATAAAGAGAGAGAGAGAGAACTTTAATATACTTGTGCATATACTTATATCAATGTACGTATGCTTAAACTAATATTTTTTTTAACTAATTGCTTAAAATTTTATAAATATAATATCTATTTTAAATATCATTTTTAATACATTTTTTATATCTAGACATAAGCAAAACTTTGGGTTGATTGTAAGAGTTCTGTATCTGATTTATATGAAGAGTTTTATTAATAATGTTTAATGCAATTCTTATTGTAAGAGATTATCTCAGTTGGGAAACATCTCTATAAGTATTTCTATTAAATCGAATAATATTATGTTGTACAAATTTATACACTTGTAAGGTATTTGCTGTTATGTTATCAGGAGAATCTTCCTCTTCTTCTTAGGCTTAGAGTGCAAACTATATAACCTATATCTAGCATTTAAATAAAACAGACTTTATTATTTATTGCCAAACAAGTTCAAGCGCCACGCGCACTTTTCTCTAAATAATTAAAATCATTTCAATAGCTCGTATGCCATCTAGTTTTTTATACATTTCCCCAGTTTTATTTGTTTTCTGGTTTTTCATTACTCTTGTTGTTGTTGTTTTTAGCCAGCGGCCATAAGCCACGTTTGCAGCAGACGTACCAACAACAACAACGACAGCGACGGCATAAAAAAAGTAAAAATAAAAAGAATGAAATGAAACAAGAGTTTGTGGCAGCAGGTTTTCCTTTTATGTGAAAATGTGCAGGTAGGTTGCATTCATGATGCCTGCCTCTTGGCATTTGGACCTCAGCTGACGGCAGTTGGCTGGACCGTTGATGATGTTGCAGCAGCCATTACACATAATGAGCGCCAGCCGGGGCAACAGGATGCTGCTGCTGCTGCTGCTGCTGCTGCTGCTGCTGCTGCAGTAGTTCTGCCTCTGCCGTGTCTATGCACATTTGTTGCTGCGGTTGCCAGCGTCAACATGTGGATGCCAACCCTTTGAGCCGACCGCCGTGCTCGCCCACCGTTCGTTGACATTAAAAGTCGCAACAGTTGCAGTTGTTGCAGTTGTTGCTATAACAGCCAGACAATAAAGGCTATCAACAACGTTATGCTTGTGCATGTCTCATGCACCCACCAGCCCTGCTCCGGCACCAGCCTGTCCGGCCCGCCTCCTGCTACGTTTGCTGCTCTTAATGTACCAAATAATGGACACATGCCGTCGCCGCTGCCTCATGTGCGCTCGCCTGCACATTAAGCCGTTCCCCTTGAATAGCAAGTCACCCGCAAGTTGGCTCACTGTCCACACCTCTGTCGCCCTCTATTGCTGCATTTTTTGTGTGCTTTTGTGTTGATGCTTGCAGATTTCTCTTCGCTTTACATTATTTTCTTTATTTTTGTATGCC